GGGCCCGAGGGCCGGCGGCGCCGGGCGGCATGGGGGCGGCGGGGCGGGCCTTGCGCTTGCTCTCATTGCGCAGCATGCGCACGATGTCCTCCTGCATTTATTTCAAATGATGGGTGGGTCGAAATGTAGGGGGTGGTGTGTCAGGCATGGTGTTGGTCGTGTTTGAGGGCGAACTTGATTGGAGGCGGAGGGCGGAGAGCCCAGACCGACGTCGTGCGCGGCATCGGCTCGCAGACTCCAGCGGTGGCGCCACCGAGCTCAAGCCCAGCGGCCCGCCTGCGAGCCCGCCGCCGCCGCTGTGCTGCCTGCTGGCGGTGCTCAGTGCTGCAGATTCTTGCTGAGTGCATGGCACGATTTGGGCAACCAAAAAGCAAGGCGCGATTCACCGCACCGGTCCGCCCGCCCGTATGTATGTGCGGCATCAAAACCGTGCACCTTGGCTACGCGCTCCATGAGGGCCAGGAGGTCTGAGTAAACCGCTACCAGGAAGTTTAGTATGGTGCGGGGACCCCTGGGGTTGGCGGCCGGGGGATGGGGTGGGGCGCAGCAGGGCAGGGTGGGAGAGGGGCGGAGCGGGCCGGCAGGGATCGGGCGCGAGCTGGGGCCGGGGGCTGAGGAGGGGGGATGTCGGGGATGCCCAGGCGCCATGCGATGGCGGGTGTCATAGCATTGTTTCACGGCAGTGCCCGTCAGAGGGGGCCCAAGGTGAGAGCAGCATCGCGCTCTATCTGGCCGAGAGCCGCCAGGCCGGCCGGTCCCAGTCGTCCGGTGGAGCTGCGGCATGCCCCTCCCTTGACCGCGGGGTGCAGCAGGCCGGCCCTCTTGCCTGCACTTGATGGCCATGACGTCGTGGGCCTTGGCCGCGGACTCCTCGTCATCGTAGCCGCCTGCACAGGGAGGTGTGTGTGTGGGGGGGGGGGGCGAGGCGGCTTTGGAGGGCTGAGTGATGAAGCAGGGTGGGGCTGCCGGTGAGGCATGCATTAGGGCAGCCGGTCGAGGGCGCCCGGGTGATGCGTGATAGTAGTACTACATGACATCACAGCAAATGAGGTTGAAGAGGCAGCAAGGCAAGACAGGGTCGAGGGCCTGGAAGTCGCGGCTGCAGCCGGTGGCGTTGGTAGCGAGCAGAGCCAGCGCGCGGCAGCCATCCAGGCGGGGCTGCTGGTGGGGCGCTCACCTAGGTAGACTGCAGCAAACGCACAGGAGGCAGCGCAGGCGGGGCAGCCGCGGTGGTGAGGGGTTTCGAGGGGGAGAGCAAGGGGGCGCGGGGCGCAGCGGTCGTCATCGGCCTGGCCTCGGCACGGTGCCGCCGTCACCATCTGGGGCCCCACTCACTGGCAGGCCAGGCGTGGGTCATCAAGTTGCACTGGACGACGGACGCAACAGCTTCCACGTCCCTTCTTCCCCCGGAATACCTTCCCCCGCAGCGCGAAGCCCCTTCCGTCTTTCCTCCGCCAACTGCCCCGGACCCCCCTCTCCCCCCCCCAGGGCCACCCACCCTGCTTCTTCACGTCCCAAATGTGGGCCTCCCACCGGCGGGTCCGCCTGCGTAGTGGGTGCGGTGAGCCCCATAATCCTTGCCCCATTCGATCGCAACAGGATCCAGCCCTGACGGACCCACCGGGTCCATCACGGCTGCCAGCCTTTCCCCGCACCTGGCACTCAGCCCCGGAACGCACCCGTCGCGTCTCCCACATCGCACCGCACGGCCGCTCCCCTCATGTCTGCACGCCCCAGCTCGCGCCCGGCCGACCGCCAGCCGCCGACTCCCCTCCAGCCGCCCGACCCCCACCAACCGCCATCAACCGCCATCAACCACCACCAAAACACCCCTGGCCGGGCGCACCTGTGGCGGGTCACGCCGCGGTACCTTGAGCTCGACCCAGGGGGCCCCCGCCTCGTGCGGCTGGGGTTCTCCAGGTCAACAGAGAGCACCTCCAGCGCCGCAGCCGCCGCGCTGTTGCCGCCGCGGCCGCCGTCGTGCAGCGCCGCGACCTCGGACCTCACGACGGGGCGCTCGAAGAGGGAAGACAGGCGGTCGGCAAAGAGGGAGCAGGCGCTGACCGGCGGGGCGCGCTGCAGGGGCCCGGGGAAGGGTGAGAGGTGGAAGGGGGCTCTTGGCGTGTGGCGGGCGAGGGGGAGGGGCGGGTGGCTGTCCGTCGAGGTAGCAAGCCGGGGCAGTGGCTGGGACGAGTGATCTGAGGCTGAGGGCCTCGGGGCAAAACTGACATGGGAGGCCAAGGTTGGAGCGCGGGGTCGATGGATTTGACATGAATGCAGACTTTGGGTTCTAAGCACCCCTCACCTGTTCTGCAGCATGCGCGACAGGTTGCCCCGTCACGGCGGGAGCGAGGCCAACTGGCACAGCTCCCGCAGCGGCAGCCGTGCCGGGCGCTGGCCCCAGGTTCTCTGGGCCTAGGCTGACCCCGATGTTGAGGGGTTCCACGCGCAGCATGATGGCTGGACTGGGGCCCACGATGGTCCCAGGGCGCCTCTGGCGACACGCTCACGCGAGATCCTCCGAGGTGCCCTCGGACCAGGCTCCTCGTGTAGCCAGCCAATGCGACCCTCAAGCGTCGTCTGAAGTTGCAGGGGTCGGGAAGAGCCCGCCGATCGAGAGCAGGCCGTCGGACTCAGGGATAGGGCTCAACTGGCGCCGCGTTTGATTGGCCGTCGATCGGAGCTCAAGTATGATGCGGAATTGGAGCACAGGGCGGCTTACAAACGCAGAGAATCCGTGTGTCAGTTGCACTCAGAGCCTGGCCATAGATCCGGCGGCAGTCAGCTGAGGGATAACGGCACAACTCATGGCCGCCGCCGCCCGTTTCTGCCATCATCACCCGTCCCTCACAGCTGGGATCTCAGGCAATCACTAAGGCGGCACGCGCTTCAGGCTCAGGCTCAGAGGAGCCTGTGGGCTGCTGTGGTGTTGCGGAAGCCCGCCAGGGCCGGCATGAAGTCTGAGCCGCCGGTGCCTTTCTCGCCGCCAGCCTCCTTCTTGGCAAAACTTGCGATGTACGCCGCAGCAAACGCCCTGCTCAAGGGGTAAGGGATCATGGCATCAAGGTTTGGAGACCACGCCAGAACGGCGCAGAGCAGGGCTGAAGGAAGTTGCCTGACGGAGAAGGCCCAACCGCCTCCAACCGCCTCCCAACTGCTGCGCGCACGTGCGCGCCTTGCGGGACACTGCCTGCCAACGCAAGCCGCCGCCCACCCACCTGTGCTGGGCGCGGAACGCCTCCAGCTCTGCCATGACACCATTGTAGGCCTCCCTGAGCCGAGGCGGCCCCGCCGCCGCCGCGCCGCGCGGCGTGCGCGCGCGCGCGCCCGGCCCTGCGGCTGCGGC